AATAAGGATTGGTGGTTAGCTGAGGCTAACGGACAGAAGGGATACGTCCCCGCCAACTACCTTGGCAGGATGTCCTACGCATAAATAGAGGCACTGTTTTTATGCATATCATATCCAGAAAACCAAACCAATTTGTGGCATTTCAAGCGAACTCACTTAATTGAAATAATCCTGACTGTAAAACATGTCACAGTTCTGCTTGGTGAAAGTGAAAATTGCACCAGGTAACACTAGATCTTTTATGTCTCATACCAAAAGTGTTGAATCTTTGCCTTCAGAAGATCATGAGAGCTCACCGATGGGACTTGACCAGTAATCTGTGATTAACATAACTAATGGAAGGAAAATACATGCAGGGCACTGTGCTGAGCACTTTTTTTTACTTCAGTGTTGGCGAGTTTATATCAATGAAGTGATTTATAAATGAAGTTAATTATTTAATGTGATCTGATTCATACATGAAGTGTTTATATTTAAATGTGAAATTAAGAAATCTATGATGTAATTTATATTTTCACAATTATGTAATGAATAAACGAGATCCAGTCTCCATTTGTCCCGCAGAATATAATAATACACATTCAAGGACACCACATGCTACAAAGTGAGTTTATAATAAGAGATTTAATGTTCGTTAAAGAAAAGTGACACTTTTTCCAACGGTCATACGTGTTAAGACAAAACGAGGTACATACACAGTCCAGCAGCATTTATACAATTATACAAAGCAAGATTCAAGTATTTGACTGGATGGTGTTACTCATGTACAGTTGCTCTTTTAATACAAACACAACGCTCTGGCACTACTTCCACATTTATTTTCTACTCCCTCACACTTCCTCCCCCTCTTTGTTTCTCTCTACTCATTTCTTCAGTTTCTTCTGCGCTGCTTTCTTCTTCACCAGTTGTAAACGTTTCATGGCGTTGAGCTGGGACTCTTGGGACGTTGGCGCTTTGTCCCCTGGTGCAGCTTTTGACCCATTCCCATTATTCCCGTTACCTCCTCCGTTATTTCCTCCGTTCCCTCCTCCACTTGAGCCGCTCGGGGAGCCGGCCCCTGACGAAGCCGGCCCTTTGCCTTGACTTTCGCCGCTCGATGAACGGTTCAGAGGCTGCTTACCCAGAGTCAGTGGTGGAGGAGGTTTTAGAGGCACCTGGCTAGAGCCGTTTCCGTTTCCGCTCCCGGGTGTCTTTGCACTCCCAAGACCTGACTTGGCTCCTGCTAGCCCAGACAGCCCGACAGGTTTCTGGCCAGAAGGAGCGGACAAGGTCTTGTGGCTCCCACTCGGGCCTGAGGAACCTAGTTTGGAGCTGGCAGCTAGAGACGGGCTCGTCTTGGCGCCAAACGCAGCCCAGCCTGTAAGGCCGCTGCCTGAGGAGGTGGAGTTGCTGCTGGTGGGATTGGCTGATGTTGTGGATGCCTGAAATTATAAATAGTTACCACAATTATCACAACATAAATTCAACAGAGCCTCACATTTCATTGTCGTATTGCAATAATAACTTTTAAAGTTTTGAGATTAAGATCCTGAGAAGACACCTTTATTTCTGAAGTCAAACACCAACAAATTAATTAAATGTTCATTAAAGGAGTTTACTTTAAAAATACTGTAATTTAGGTTTGCAGGTATGTTTGAGATAGATAGAGATATATATATATATATATATATATATATATATATATAAAAAGGTTTTTATTGTTAACGGAAGCTCATTTACCATTTCATGGCAAGAGAGATGGTTTAACTTTAGATGCATATCATACCTGTGCATTACCATATTTAATTAATGTAATCATTTAGCGTTGGTATATACCCATCTCTTCTACTGCTTCATGTTATATGTTACCAAGAAATACATTGTGGTGGAGAGGATTGTTATGATGGATTTTTGTGCAGCAAAGTCTGATCCATTACCAGTAAGAAGAAGGTATTGAGAGATGGACTAACACATGTGTTGGCCTTTGTCTTTCCAAGAGACTAAAAACTAAATTGAACACCAGCCTTATCCTTTAACATATCTTCGGATCACTGTGTAGTAGAGCAAATACATATTGAGTTACCTGCAGGCTACACAATGACTCAACTTGCTCGAGCCAAATTCCCACACTGACTTGAATTAACATACAAGTTAATTTGTGCTAAACACAAGTTACTGAACCCTACACTGCTCCCGAAGGCTGTGACCATTAGTTTACACTCTGATAAGCAGTTTAGCACCTTGTATGGAAGCTTCTGCCATCTGTGTGTGAGTGTTTTGAGTGGTCGGAAGACTAGAAAGTCCATTTACTTGCAACTAATAATACCAGCACATATTATTGTGGGTCAAAAAGGCAGCATACAGCCATACGTAGTTGACACAAACCTTCAATTCTGTTCTTTTGAAGGCTTGGAAGGTGCTGGTTGTGTCCGGCTTGGCTTTAAGCTCCGTCTTTTTCACCTGTGTGTCTTTGACAACAGGCGCTGATGATGCAGATGCAGGAGATGGCTTCTGTGGAGGTTTCTGGGCCTAGAGGACAGACAAGTAGTTTGTTTTAGACAGAAAATACACCAATACTGAAACTACTAGCATGACTATACACTGATTAGTCACACTAAAAATACATACAAAGACCGGGTTATAATTTGTTTTCCTCACCATACGTTTCATTTGCCTGGTGCAGCGGGCACAATACCACACAAGCCGTGGATCGTTCACTTCTTTGTCTGTCACTTGGGGCTTGTGACAGTCCTGGTGGTACAGATTATGGCACTCCTGGCACTCAACCAACTGGTTTCCCATGCTTACTGTCATTTGTCTGAGACGATGGAAAAGCATGTTGCAGGTTAGTACGTTTACCTTTGTATCTCAAAGATTGAGCATACCAACATCTGGAAGCTCACGTATGAGAGGAAAACTACATTTTGTTGATTTGCTAATAATTAAGATGTACCTGCAAACCACACAAGCCAGGCCCATTTCCATCGCGAAGTCATCCGCATTGGTCTCATCGTAGTCATTTATGTTTGGCAGGAGGTCTTTGCTCGTCTGAACGGTAACTGGAGAAGAGCGGTTCTCCGGTTTCTCCAAACGAGGCTTTTTGGGAGGGTCCACCTCAGCCACGTCAACCCTGACCTGTTTGTCAGTAAGACAGAAAGAGTTCCGTTTGGACAATGCCTGTTGACATCAATGTCATAACAACACTGTCAATTTATAGCCATCTTTTTGATTATTCTACTCTCTCACTAACTGTATGGATCTGCTTAGTCTTTCTTGCCTATGAGTGACGCTATGGTTTTGGAGTCTATTTATTCCGTACCTTCTCTGCAGGCCTCTTTTCCGGCTCCTTCTTGCTTTTTTCCGAGCTGGATTTGCTGCTGCTGCTGCTGCTGCTGCTGGAGGATGAGGAACTTGAGGAGGACTTTGAGTCCTGTTTGCTTAAGCTCAGTTTTGACACAGACCCCTTGGACACCTCTATATCCTGAGGATACACAACGATAAGACAGAACAATGTCATTCCAATGAAATTGAAAGAGAACTGAAAAATAATGAATACAAAAAATGTAATAAGCGCCTTACTTTTTGTAATGAACGGTAAGACGAGTCACTTCCTCTTGAAAGGGACTCATCTAGTAAAGCTTTGAGTTTCTCAACCGAGTCTTTACTCTTGGAGTGTAGGTAACTCAGTCCCTTTAGGAAGATCGGATCCAGCTCCAGACTGACAGGTCCAGCCATGGCTAAACACTGGGAATCATAAAATAAATGTCAGCTTTTTAAGCTTCTGTACAAATGTATCAAATACCACTGCCAAGGAGGACAAGCTGTGTTGCACAAACGACAGATATATTAAATATAAATGCCTTATATACACTGCAGTGTTCACTTGGACTGACATTTGTCTTGGCTAAGAGCTTCGGGGTAAAATACTAGATTGATTCCAAGATCAAAATATCAATTCAATCATTTCAAGGGCTTAAATCTACACAGATACAGTTAATACAACACTGTACCATGATGTAAAGCTTTTTTTGTTTTTTTTGCATCTACAGCCTCCTAATTGGAATCACTCAACTTCTTCTAAAAGCAAACATCTTCTATACACGTTCATTATTTAGAAGGATTGAAATATTTATCGGTAAAAGTCTGTCTTTCTTCAGTGCAGCCTATAGTCCCACCCAGTTCGTGTCTCTCATGCAATCATTGTTTTCATACTTTTGCACTGGCAGCCACGATCATAAATACTGAGAACAGAAGATGCGATTGTACAAACTGAAGTCAGATGAGAGGAGGGCAGAAATAGGGAGAAATAACCCTCACCTACCCCAAAAAACCTGAAGAGAATGAAAGACAATACAGGTCAACCAGGGCTGTTCAAGTGTTCACTCTGATGCTTCATCTATAACTATGTGCTGAACAGGGTGGTCGGAACTAAAATTCGCCCCCATGTTGGGTCCAAAAAAATATCCCGCACGAAAGACATTGATACCCTAATAAGGATTTAATTTGGTTGCTTTGTGACGATATTGGTACAAACCAGAAAACACACGAGTCCTAGCGCCACAGCAGCTAAAGTTACGTTTCCCGTCAACTGTCAGTTACAAAACCAAGTTGCCAGGTGGTACTGTTCAGTTGGTTTACGTTACCTCACAGTCTGCTTCTTATAGAAACCTGCCCCTTCACTCGGTAGTTTCGTTTTGGTGAGCAACTAACGTTCAGGCTTCAACACTTCCTAGATGAGAAGCCGGGGATCAGCCTTCGCCTGGATGTGTTAGCGGTGCAACCGTTAAATATGTCCGGAATCTAGTCGCTCGGAACCTTGGGTGGAAATTGCGTTATTAAAACAATTTCACATAAGCTTCCAGTCTATATCTAATGAATAATTTAATATGCCACCTAGATTTTTAAGGAATTAAAATGCATGTAACGTTTTTATATTTTCTCATCAGTATTGATTCGTAGGTGTTGCTATCAGGCAGCAGATGGCGCTGTGGAGCTAAGCTAGTATTAACACAAGGCAAGAAGAAGAAGAAGCTTGAACAGGAAGCGTGGACAACGTGCTTTTATTGAAATTGCCGGTGTGTTATATCTACATTACTAAAGCAGTTGTAAGTATCTATTAATGTCATTTCATGCACCGGGTCTTACGTTGTATCTCAGCCAACACGTTCTTGTTGCCATTCATGAAAAGACATCTGAACACTTTTCTAAAGCAAATTAACGTCACCTGTTAACATCTTCCTTGTTTTTTTCATTCACAGCACTATTAATTAACGATGAAGCACACCGAGGAAAAGCATCTCTCCCTCTTTCTAGACGTTTGCTGCCAAAATGAGGAGCCGCGTCTTCCGCTGCACACCTCCATCGCCCTGTTTCTCCTGTCCTACAGCGAGTGCAAGTCTTTCAAAGTTTTCCTCGTCTTCACCAGACCTGCCAGCTCCCAATCACTGAGGAGTCAGCTGCCAGAGGGTTTGGAAGTGTCTGACGTTCAGTTGGAGGCTCTGCCGCAGTTGGTGAGGGGCTGCCGTCGGCCTGCAGTTCTGGATGAGACTGGGATGCTCTGCAGGGCAGGGCTGGCGGTGGTCCTGAGACACGTCATCAACAAGGCCCTGGAGGCCGACCCTTCTAGAAAGGATGTGTTGGCACTGCTCGGCTTCAAGAAGACCTGTCTGAAGGCCTGTGCTGAGGTCAGTGGCAAGCAAGGACACACGTAATCAAAGTGCAAGTAAACAAAGTCCCCTGATGTGTAGCATCGATCATGGTGGGGGGTTTCTAGCACAACTCCACCTACTTGTGATGTAGATGGCTGCTTTAAAAGGTTGAAACTTTAGCAAAACTTGTTGTGAAGTTTATTGCGAGGCTGGGGCATTTTTGGCTCCAGGCATTTATGAAATCGCAGGAGATTTGACCCTTTGACTCCGCATCTATCACTCAGTGTGTACAGGTGTGCGAGCAAATATAATGACTACATAATCATCATTACTGTGAATCCAGATTACATAGTGGCATAATGCTTATGTGTTAGCCTGTCAAAATACCAGTAACACTTGATTTTATCTTCTTTTATCTTTTATCTTCTTTTCAGAAAAAGGACATCATTTGGTTTTAATCATAGGGACAATTGACAGTGTTCAATTTACTTCCAAATGATTCATTCTGATTAATTGCTCATAGAACCCACTGCAGGTCAGCATACAGTAAATAAAAAATGAAAACACATTTAGTTGGGTTTCAATGAAGTAGGTCATTTAAGGAAGTTCCTCTGGAATTCTGCAACGGCTTATAAACTTATACATCTAACAAAAGTAAAATAATTGCCCCACAGCTTGTGGTACTGTTGAGTTCAACGTTACTTCGTTCTTCACCAGTGACTTCCTCGGAGATGTTAAATATTCACCTTTTTAAAATAAAGCATTATCATTGTTGTCGTCGGTTGTTCTCAATTCTGATCTAATTCCTCACCTGATGAAATTTCCAGCCCTCACTGGATAAACTATTTTACATTGTCTAGCAAAGTTTTTATTCCAAATTAACGTTTATTTTACTATAACAACGACGCAATATGACCAGGGTCGATGTACTATTACAACATGTTGATTGGGGTTTGGTTAAAGTGTCAGCAGCATCATACTTAGACGGATAAAATATAATATGATATATTTATAGAATATAACGTATCGCAATAATAAACAATTAAACAATGATCTATTTTGAGCACCTGCGGCATTTGACCGTAAACATCTTTTCTTTCCTTGCACTCAGGTGAGCAAGTGGACCAGACTGTGTGAAATTGGAATCCCCTCTGCTGTTGAAGAACACCTCAAAAATCCCACCAATCAATATCAGCAGCTGCCTCTCTCCATCCTCACCCTAGAGCGGAGGCTCGCGGAGCCCGTCAAAGTCCACAATGACGACAAGATACGGAGACAGAAACTCCAAGAGCAGAGACGGAATGAAAAGAACGAGTCCCCTGAAGGCAAAGGGAACCCGGACACCGAGTCCAAGCCCGGGCGATCGCCTCAGGTCAGTGACAGACTTGAGCTCAGGGCGGCTCTGGCCAAGCTGTCCGTGGATTCAGTTCCAACTATGACCACCAGAGAGAACTCTGAGATCAGGAAAGTGAAGACCACAGACCTGCCTCCGCTGCAGCATGTGTTTGCAGAAGGACTGTACTTCACTCTGACTGACCTGGTGCTGCTGCCATGCATCTACCAGTACTTGGTAAGGGCCTCGGAGGTCATGATTCATGTTTGAGTGTTGTCAGTAATGAACCCTTGTGACTAAGGATCCTGGTCTTATTACTGCCTTACGTTTTTGCATAATTAAGGGTCATGAATACACGTCAAATGCTTTTAATGTGATTGTTAATGGTTATATTTCCTCTGTCAGCCTTATACTTTACATGCATGACACACTGTGAACATTATAAAATTTACTGTAAGCAATATACTCATTATTGTGCTGTGAGCAATGAAGTGAAGCCACGCAAGGCTTTGTCTCAACGGTAGCACACGCGACTTAAGTCTGCTGTCACCTCGTATAGATACATATACGTGTATTTACAGACTCATCTTTATTATGATGACTGGTCTAATTATGCATGACTTATGGTTTTGACACTCTGGTCAGGGTGAGCAGGCAGTACACCCAGCTCCTTTCAGATCCATCCATGCAGAAACTTGAGTTAAGAAGACTCTCTGCATCACACTTGGCGCAGGTTGTGCTCTCAAAGGGGGTCTAGAGCCACCTGGCACAGCCTGATAACAGTGTATGGTAGGGTTTCTACTCTAATGCAGCAGATTACTTTTTTCTTTCTCTGCAATGGATCAATAATTGGTGGGTGTTTATATTGACCTTAAAACTCTTAGCTTAAAAAAAAAAAAGAATTCTGCAAGCTCATGAACATTTTCTGAATATTCATGACATAGAATGATCGCATAGTTTACAGGTTAAGTTGGTAGCAGCAATTACAGTAACTGCAGTGGAGATCAGAGCGTCTATTTAGTTCACTGGTGTATTGTTATTGATCAGGAATGCCGCACTGTCAACCAGTGAAGTGGGTCTCAACCTCCATTTCACCCTTCAGCCGCCTCCCAACTATTCCTCGACTGTGGGAACCGACTGAAGTTCTCACAATGAGGCTTTTAGTAGTCAGCTGTGCTCCAGTGGTTTCCAGTTTCACACTCAGCCTAGCGTGTCTCCTTTTAACGGCCACATCACTGTCCACGAGACATGCAGCCACGTCGGATGTTTTCCGCTCCACCCACATGTCTCACTACGGAGTGTCTCTCCCCCCCCCCCCCGGGTCTGTGTCCCCGTCTCTGTCTTCCGTCTTCCACACATAGTCACACACAGTGGCACTGCGCCTCTGATCATGTCTCTGTTTGTGTCTTTACCCTCATCTTCCTGCCAACTCTGTTTTGATGATTGTTCTTGCCGGCCCCTCGTGTCTGTCCGACCACCAGTGTGATGAGTGAATTCTAGTGGAACCTGACGTCTCGCTCCACTGGAGATGACGTGTCAGATGAGTCACTTAATCAATATCTCTTTGTTTTTTTTCTCCCTTTTCTCTTTCATTCCTTTTCTTTCCTTTGATAGTGTTCCCTTCAAGCACATGCTGCGAGCTCTCTGCACCAGCTCCCCCACCTGCTGCGTTGGTACAGCCGTGTTCAGGAGGTACCTGGGGTCCTTCGGGCTGCCAAGGAGTGTGGCATGGCTCTTTCCATCCCCCAAGTTCTCATGTCCAGCCTCCCGGGGCCTTCAGCAGAGGACGTCCAAAGTAGCCTATTGGAGCTAGAAGAAGACCAGGAGATGACCGCGCAGCCTCCCTTTGTTGGCGGCCCCAGGCCCACACTGACCAAACTTCAAGTAAATTATAACATTTCCTTTTACTTATCATGTTGTTCCTCTCTCTTTCAGCAAACATGCTCTCACACCCGGTTCCAGTGTCCCTTCACAGTACAGGTAGAGGGTTTTAGGGCTCCAATTGGTTGTTAAAGGTGCATAATACGAGATCTAGATTGCCTCTCAACATGGCGACGCCTGAGCCGGGGGCTCGTAGCTAACGGCAAACGTGCTGACGGAGCTAACGGTGTATACCTGAGGGGGAACCGGAGCTTGGGTGCTATGCTTCTGCGACGACTCTGTCTGATGGGATGGCGTTATCGGCTGTAACCGCTGTATGAGAGCAGTGCAGAGCACCGGCCAAAAGCTAGCCAGGGGGGGTCACGCTCACGTGCACTACCATGCATTAAAAGCACTTACGGCCGGCCCGGCTAGGTCAACAAAGCACAGAGAAGCTCTGATAACAACGCACAGAGAGGGAAAGTCACTTCATTCTCTGCTCAGGTAGACATTATTCCACTATATCTTTAATAGTTGCTCCCTGCTTTATTAATGCTCTCAATGTCGTATATTGCTCCTTTAACTGTTATCAGTGTAATTTCATTTACCCATTTTCTGCCGATTGTGCCTTCAAGAGTGTATCTCTAAGTTCATGTTTTGGCTTCTGGCAGACTCTCTTACTCGTTAAATGTTTTGCCTTTCTGCCAGTGCTTAACCGTTAAGTGCTCTCAGTCACAGAATTAACATTTTAAGTGGGCTTTTTTAAGATGCTTGTCTGTATACATGATTTTCTTCTCACAGTAATTTTTTTTACTGTTTTTATTTTTTATCAATCAATACAAACTAATAAAAAAAGTAACCAGTCTTAAAAGAATAATATAATCTGTTTATATCAACAGTATTGTACTGCCCTCAGTGCATTGTAAAGTGCACTGGATCCTGTGGCCACTTGCAATAGTGCCGACAATGCACATTCAGCTTATGCTCATTTCAGGTGCAATAAAAACAATGAATCCAGTCCAAAAGAAAACAAAAGTTTTATAGTCAGACTAAGTAGTTTGTAGTAATGGCTCAAAATCTTATTGTAAAGAGACAAGACGGCACACAACAGTAGCATAATGTGTCCACGCTCTTAAAATGCAGTTCCCTCAGGAAGCTTTGGCCAGAGGCACACAACACACAGTCACACAAATGTATAGGATTCTTTGCTCTACAGCACACCAAATATTGCCGCTGCACTATTTTTTTTTTTCTACTAGCTTTTCCAGAAGGAGATAAGCAGACCCAGCTGTTCAAAAGGAGACTGTCTCCTCAGCCCTGACTAACCTCTCGCTGCTCTAAGCTTTCAGACTGTTCACTTGGCCTTGTTGCTCTGCTCTCTCAGCACAGATATTCCTGTGATGTCCTGCTGGCTAAGTGTCGATAACAATGTGTTGTTGTTGTTGTTGTTGTTGTTGTTTTTAAAGATGGGAAGAGAGCAAAGGGGAGAACGCAGTATTTGGACAGTTTGGATGAGGCGGATGTGTGAGCTGGGTGGTCAGGATGGGATTTGCCTTTAACATGCCATGCTGCTGGATTGAATTTAGACGGGCACAGATGTGCACAAATGACAGTTTTCATAGCAGGTTGAAATCAGACATTAAAACTGAGAGGCATGCCTGTACACACACACACACACACACACACAATGGCCACCATTCTTTCTTTGACTAGAGGGATTATAAGGATGGCTGCGTGTCGCCACCATCATGTCTGCACTGCAGCTGTTGTGTTGTCTTGGCCAAGGGGTTGGTGGGGGTTTGTGTGTGTGTGTGTGTGTGTGCGCGTGTGTGCGCATATGTCCTCGTATATGATTGTGTGCATCCCGGGGCAAGTACATGGTGACAGAGAGGTCTGCCGTCTGACACGCGATCCCTCACTGCTGCTAACCAGAGGCACCGGACTCATCCCGCTACTCTATCCACAATATAAATGGCTCATAAACTCTCCCTCCTACTCACTTCAGTTAACACACACTGATGCATGCCAGTCAAACTGCCTGTGCAATGAGCTGTAGAGGCGCAACACTGTGATCCTAATGTAAACAAAAGAGTAGCCCCGCTACCAAAATTCGAAATCCAAGACTAACACCTGCCTGCTGTCACTGACACGTTGATTGACAGGCCTCTAAACACAGTTACTAACATTAGCCAAAAATTCAATTAGTAAAATATGGGGGTGGTCCAGAGAAGGAAGATTAGTGAGTTAACAGGATTAGTTGCATTTTCTGTTGGCAAGTCTAGTCTGTCTTAATTACATCGCCCAATATCACAAATCTGCCCCAGGGGTGTTTGACAGTCTGTACAGCATTCAGCTGCCTCTGTCATTTTTTGACCCTCGATTTGGATAAGGGAAAAACTCTCCAAACTACCACTACCTGCTCTCCACCACGTAACCTGAAAAGAGGACGCGCTACACAAACAAACAGGCAGCAAACCTGAAGCACAGGATTCACACGGATAGGAGACGGAGACAAACACACAGAGGGAGACGGAGAGACACGAGGCAGAATGTTGACAGGAAAACTGGTGTGCCAGAAACTGTGATTACTGAAAGTCGTCTGCGTCTGTCCCTGACCATGGAAAGTGAAACTAAACAGCTGTGTGGCAGGTTACTTACTCCTTACGGTCCTCCGTTGGGCAGGAGGGTTTGGCCATTGCTTGTTATTTGAGACTCGGCTCTACCAGCTTGTATGTAGTGTCCATCTTAACTTCAGAGCATGACCGGTGCATCGGGAAAATGTGGCCTAACTGATGTCAACGCTCGATCTTTTGAACCGCAGTGTTGCAGCTTGTCCTTTTGCACAGATCTTTACTTGCCAGGATGCCATTGTGCAAGGCATCCACAGTATCTTTTAAATGTGTTAATGTATAATAACTTACCTTCTTTTAGTGTTTCAATAAAATGAGATGTTCAGTTAAATCATTAACAATCATTTTGGACCATGGCTGTAGACACATTGTGTGTTGGATGAGTTTAACACTGAATCATTTGTTTAAATTAATTTTTTAAGTCTGTTAAAACGGTTAAAATGGTGCTGAGTTAACGAGGGTCATTTTGAGGCTGTAGTTTATGCTGTTTTTGTGTCAGAATGCATTACATTGTTGTGTGCTTGATGTGTTTGCTCCTCCTCTTAAAGTAAATTAACTAGAGGAAATATTAGAAAGGAAAATGTTGATTATAATGTAATGTTACGCAACACTACACAATTCAGCCCCAGGTTACTGTAGTCAACACACAAACAAAGGAAGTAGTGGTGACGGCAAAAGAAAAATTATTTTTAGTAAAATGGTTTATTCAGGGCTGTTGTTTTGTGTTGCATTACATCACGCAACTGTTAATATTTGTGTAGCCTTCAGTTTATGTCGTCGAGTTATTTCTCTGTATATACTGGGTAATATGCTCTGATAGGAGGTATACTGCATATTGCACCTTGATAATACTATCCTCTGTAACATAGATGTTTGTTTTTTAAGTTGGTTATGATATTATGCATTAGCACAATCAATTGTTGTAGTGGTAACTAAATACACACATTGTGACAGCATAAAAGACTTGAATAAGGCCTCACATTAGTGTGATTTAAACGAAAAGAGTTAATATTGTCAGAGACCACAATACTTAGGAAATTAAGAGAAATGTGGCTGACATTCTGCCTGTACCACACACCTCTTTTACACCTTAATCATAAGATGATGTCATATTTATTAGTGGCCATGCAGACCTATTGTCACATTAGATTAGGTAGTCCACTGATGGCAAATATGCAGCTGTTAGAAAAGATTTTCCCTGAAGAGATCTTTTTGTATTTAATTGTTGGCAGCGATAAAAGACTCTCTAGACATTTCCTGCCTTTTATAGACTGTGCTGAAGCACAGGCTTACATTTGTAACCCTCTTATCATCAGAGAGAGAAGAAGAAAGGAAAGTGCTTTGACTTGTGTGCACTTTGAAGTGTTTCTCCAGCATTTTGCTGAAGTGGATTGGATGCACAGGAGTGTAGTTGTGTTTGTCTCTTGAGAGGAGTATAAGTGCAGTAGCAGTGGCCTTTTCTCAGGTGTAGCCTCAGACCAGCGGGAGCAATGTAACAAAGGGGTTATTTAAGAATGGCACTCTTTAAATCACTTCATTACCGCCATTTGGACCACTGAGCCTGAAGGCTGTAGAGGGGTTTCTATGGTAACTTGTGTATTCGTGTGTTCCTCCCTCAGGAAAGTGGCATCGAGGCCGTGTTCACGCCTCACCCTTGCCCTGACTGGACCCTCCCATGGGACAGCTTACCAGGAGCCATCAGCCCCACTGAAGGTAAAGTCAAATCTCTGCCTTGTGGCGTTCCTGTTTGCTTTCTCCATCTTCCTCGGGCCCTTCTGCCCTCGCAATCTCTCCTGTTGCTCCTTTGGCTTGTTTCCTTTTTGTTTTTCTGTTTTCTTGTTCTTGTTTCTAACCCCTAACTCTTCCCCATCAGCGTTAAAACCTCTTCCTTTCATCATTTTACCTCCTCACTCTTTTAATCTGTATGCCTCTACATCGCACCTACTCCCTCTCTCCTTCACCCTATTGCTTGGTGAAAGTCTAGACAAATTGCTACTGACACTATATATGAGGAATTCTCTTAAATATTTCCATAAAATCTTCCTTGTATGTTGCCTGGTGATCTTCAGTGGCACCGTCATGCCCCTAAAAAGAAAAAATATGAAGCCACTGACACTTGCAGAGTGTTGTGTTGAGCCTCAGCTGGATGCTGTTCCCCATGAGGCCCCCCTAATGAATTCTAAAGTGCTTATCTTGATGTGTTGTTCTCCTTATTTTGTCTTGCGAAAGTGTGAAATAGGTCTTTGACTTAAACAGACTCGGCACAGCAGAAGCCCACAAAACCAATGCGTGCGCACACACACACTGAAGGCTCAAATAACGATTGTGCGACGTGGAACCTGTGCATGTGCCTTAATGGTTACTGATTGCAGTGAGAGTATCTAATAGGCAATGGAAGGGTTGTTGATTGCTGCCCCAGGTGGCACCGGTGAAGCAGGGAGAAGAAATCTCAATGTTTCTCCGGCTCCCTTTCTCTTGCCTGCATTGTTTTTCTTCTTACTTGTGAGACGTCTGCGTCGGTAGCGATGCTAAATGGTATGAATGCATGTGTTGGAGCAGCAGTAATATATCATTGTCATTGTTTGTAAGGAAATGGAGGGGTTCATAAAGACGAGAATATATACATGATATGAATATTTACATGTTTCATTTTCTCTTCATTGTTGGGTTATGCCTTCATTTCTTGCATCCTGTCCTTTTCACTTATTCAGGAAATTTGATAAGCAGAAGTTCACGCTCATCGCTTATTCCTCCACTTATCAGATAACAGGAAATTGAAGCTGGAGAGGTATTTCATTATCAAGATGTCCGTGTGTGTGTGGCACCGCGAGTTCAGCTTCTTGCCTCTCTCGACTCTAGTGTCTAGCTTACACTTCATTACCCCCGTACAGTGTCATGTGAATAAACCTCCGAATAACTTTGAAACTAAACAAGAAGAATTGTATCGGAAGTAAACATAATCTTTACTTCTATTGTACTTTTTAGACACTCGGTTACAGTGTGTTTCACAAAATAATTAATGGGAATGTTTAAACTGAGAGAATATACATGATACAGTGACCTCATGCTATGTTGCTGTGTCTTACCTGTTCACTGAAATCCCCAATTTGCAGATCATCTCTTACTTATTTTGCTTCGACTCATAGAACTGCAATGATTCAATGATATTTTGATAATCCAATAATTGTTTTTGTCACTTTAAAAGCAAAAGTGCAGAACATTCACTGGTCCCAGCTACTGAAATGTGTGAGAAGCTGGTGCTTTACTTTGTCATGTATGATAATAAAGTGAATATCTTTGGTTTTTGGACTTTGGGAAACTTTAACACACATTTTATTGGCAATTTCTAACTATGATTAATCTGTAAAATAACTTGCAGATGAATCAATAATTTAAGCAGCCCTAATAATTAATATCACTTCATTGGTATGTATTTATTCATTGATTCATCAAACAACATTCACCACAAATACAATTTATATTCTACGTGAACCATTTTCCGGTGGTGTGAATATTCCATACACATCAATCCAGTATGACCTTCATTTGAAAGCTTTAATTGGTTTATGACTTGATTATTTTTATTACATCTACAATAAAGTCAGCAATATGAGGACAGACTCACTCTTTACTAACTCTGTCCGCACATTTGGAATCATTGCCCTTCTGTATTGTTCTGAAATGAACGCAATGAATCGAAGTGGATGAGAACAGTGTAGTGGTAGTATAGTAGCTGTGGTAATGTATTTGAACAAAAAGCCAGCACTTTAACTTGATAGTCATTGTTTCAAATTGAAAATGCTAGATTAGAGTCAACTCAATGAAAAACATCCTCATTTTATGTCTATATTTTTGACTGCACTGTACTAGCTGTAATTTATAGCATATTCATGTATTCCCACTATACAAATGGATCATCTGCTTCTATCCCTAAAACCCCGCTGACATTTCAACAGAAGTGCTCTTGACGATGTGGGCAGTGTATCTATTCTGAGAACGAGAGAGAGACTACGTTTTAGTCGGCCCACTTTTGTCGGCACTCTGCATGATAAACGGCGCTGTTGATATCTCCTTCTGCAGTATTAGGCTTGTAGGTAGGCAGCCGCTGTGTTTCAGTGCTGTGTAATTAAAGAGGAGCAAAGACTGAAGGCAGACAATTTGTACTGAACCCCAGCGCGTGGGCTTTCCCATCTATGTCTACCTATGACTGCACACATGCCCACACCCACAGGGAAGGTTTCCCCTTACATATGCATACATATTTCCATACCTGGAAACACTAATATGACACACATTTGAAAGCTGGCTTTTTTCTATGTATTGACTTACCATTTTTATGTAAGTGCATATACACTATTTGAATGGTTTGGTTCTGGCTCTGTACTTGCATGACTGAATATAAGAAGTGGACCACGTCACCCAGTGGTTTATGCGCTGCCGTTTTGAAGCCTCGTGTTTTTGTCCGTCACCATCTTGGTTAGTTTTAGATTTTTTGCAACCACAAGTGACACAAGAGGGTGGAGCAAACAAGTACAACCGAACGCTGAATAAGACATTTTTATCCGACCCAAAACATTACAATTTATTTTCATGAACTGAAAAGACGCTGTGAAAGGGTTAAAGTTGAAAGACAAAAACACAGATGACTCCCAGAACAGACAACACCGTGGTAGCGACATGTCAATCACAAAATAGCCATCATTTACTGAATGAACCTCGTGATGTATTGAAGAACACTTGAAACTAGCGATTGAGACCATAAACACAATTTTTACAATTTATAATAAGGTAATAAATCAAGTAATCCTTATACACATCTATACAGTCAGACTTTTTTTTTTTTTTACGTCAAGAGGAGTCGCCCCCTGATGGCCATTAGAAAGAATGCAAGTTTAAGGAACTTCACTTCACTTTTCAGACCCGGGTTGCTGCCTGACTCCAAAGCATTGGCTGTATAGTGAAAACAATGACAAGGAGGTCAAAGTGCTGACTTTTAGCTTTAATTTGACTGTTCACATTCAGTGAAGCGTGTAGAAATTCCAGCCCTTTTTATCCATATTCTGAAGGGTAAAATAGGCTACAATTTGCACAGCCAATATGTGAATGTGAACACATCCAAACGCCCTTAAATCTGAAAGTCAGCACTTTAACCCCGTGTCAGTTGTTTAATTTCAAATCTGTTATGCTGGTATAGAGCCAAACAATAAAGACCATCACTGTCTTGAAACTTTATGACTCCACTGTTGGTTTCTTTCAGACGTGTAGTTAATATCTACTTCTGCAAAACAGAGGAAAGATAATCACACATTCATGCACCTCTACAACACTATGCCTTATTTAGACATTGCTCAGTGTATTGACCCATTCATTGGTAACAATAGTCACTTATGCTCAGGTATATTCAGTGTAGAGGAACAAAGGGACCTCTGTGCATGGGAGCTGTTTATGTTGTTGCCCCCACTGTCTGCAGACACATAAACAGCCATGTGAATACAGGGGCCATTGTATGGAGCAGTCGACGTCTTGTCTGCAGCGCTTCACTTAATAGAGGGAGGAGGGGGAGGCAGCCCAAAACAAAGCGGGTTAGAATGATGGAGTGTGTTACAGTGGGAGATTGAGATAGGGGTGAGACAGCCTGGAGAGAGACAAGGGTTATCAGGAGAAAACAAGGCAGGGAAAGAGGGGTGAACGAGACAATTGGGCATAAAAAGGGAGGGCTGGTTTGGAAACTGCATAGTTGTCATGCTTGAGACCTGCTGCTGTTCCGACCTCGGGTTGTTTTGGTACAAGGAGATGAGATGAGTTCACACGTCTTCTTCTTAGGTTACGACAGTATGACAGAAGTTGAACTACTGGTGTGAAAACTGGCCCAATTTGTCTTTTGTCTCCCTCCTTCGACTACAGCAGAGATGTCATTGAGATTTTTTTAGTCTTTGGGTTTGGTAGAAGTAGAAGAAAAGGCTGAACAATTAGATGTCTTCTCACAGTTTTTATTTTTTTTCCAGTCATAATTCAACATCTTAACATAAAAATCTCTGCATAAACCAGGCAACCAGCGGAGACTCCAGTAAGTTCCTGTGCCTCTCCAACAGATAGTCCAGCAGATAACCCCCTCTGACACCACAGTGAGGTGTTTTTACATGCAAGGATTAAACGACAAGATATTAATTAGTGAGTGTTTGAGGTGTGGGTAGATTCTGTTGCCTTTGGACCTACCTACAACAAACAAAAGTAATAAATTGCTTTTTACTATTGCAATTTACTATTTAGCATGTCATCTTGGATGTCACATGGGATTCTCAATACATTTTATAGTATTGTACAGTATTAATAGTAGTAACACAAACTGTGGAAAAATATGAATACAACTGTTTCAACGCTTTAGTGTAGAACATTTGAATCGGTACATTCAGTGGTGTTTGCCTTGAAGTGAAAGAAGGATCATTTCTGAAGGTGCTTTTTGCTCATCCAAACTGCAAAGACAAAACAAAGATGGATGACCAATTAGGCTTATTATCAACATACTGAACTACTGAAAACATTACACTTAAAAATAGGATGCTGAGAAAACGCGGAGAGGTCGGCTTGACTGAAATGAGAATAGCTCGTCCACTTTAAAGGTGTTTCAGTGAGCCTGGGCCAAAGTTGTTGCTAACTTCTCTTAATTCAATTCAATTCGATTCAAAGAAGCTTTATTGGCATGATAATTTACT